AACAGTTGTGCTGCTTAAAGGGGTCATGACATGAGAAACCAAATCTTTTGGTATATAAGAGATCTATGTACTATTAAAAATTCCTGCAAGTTTCATAGCTTAAGATGTCCTCCCCATTATAAACAAACCATTTATTTAATCAAGCTCTAAATACAGCTCATTCTGAATCCAAGTGACGTCGCGGTACGAAGTGACATACCAGTCAAAATCAGAATCAAAATCAATTGAGAATTTACACGATGGTAAAAGATTGGAAGACCGAAGTTTCACGTGGTGGAGCATTCTGTTGTCTACATGTGATACAAAATGATTAACGTTAATAATTTATGCATAAGCAGCACTGACGTTAGCCAATGAAGTCTTAAAGGGGAAACACCCCAAAACAGACTGTTTGAATCAGAGGTGAGAAACAGGGTGGGAAAATGTCATAAATCACTACATTTAAAAAAAAAAATGTGTACAAAAAACTATAGTAATACTATAATTGCACCTAAGGGAACATAATAAAACAAAACAAAAAAACATGTCATGACCCCTTTAAAGAACAACTGCGGCCCAAAATGAACCTTTGGTCTAATAACACATCGGTACCTAGTCGACCGTTCTCTGAGATTTGTTTTCATCATAATCGAATGTAAATAGTTTTATCTCCAAAAACTGTTTAGCGTATAACGCTGGTAAATAGGGCATAGAGTAATGAAAAATAAAAGTTAATACCACTAACAAGGCTCAAAATAACCCCACACTAACACAGTAACATAATGAGGTTCGACTTGTCGAGACTAGTTCGATTTGTCGAGACTGTTTTCCAAAGATGGCTCCTGCCTGTATACGCAAAGTGGACTGTCTTTGTAAAATATCTTCTTATTAAACTCTCTGTACACTTACACCTGACCAGTCATCGCGTGCCGTCTTTAACGCCGCGCGTGATTTCATTGAGAAGGCGAAACTAGTAGCGAGTGACTTCCGGAAACGAACGATAACAAACAATGGATGAAGCGTATTGGCTGTCCTGTGTTCAGACAAAGGTAAAAATCCCGACAAAGGACACGTTCCTGGATTGCTCGAAGAGGACAGTATGGGCTGTCAATACTCCAATATTAATATTTTTACTTAGTTTTAACGTTAGCACCATCGTCTCTCTTTCGTTTCGCCATTTTTGAATGTTGTGTACGGAAAAGCTTGTGCGCTCCTATTGGTCAACCTCATACATGTGACGGAACCGTTAAAAAATTAAACATGCTAGTGTTGCTAGTCGTGATGTCGTGAAGCATCGCAGACGCAACGTAGGTTGTTGCCCACTATGACACTATATGAGATGATGCGATCGAATCTTGCGTCCCGACCCCCGTTGTCGTTTACAAATCCCCACGACACCCTACGTCAAACGGATTGTGCCAAAATCGGGTTAAAATCGTGTAATCTGAACAGGCATAACAAAGTTCTCAATGCTTCGGTTTTGCATGTATGGACCCTCATTATGTTACCGTGTTAGTGTGGGGTTATTTTGAGACTTGTTAGTGGTATTAACTAGCGATTTTTAGCATTCAGCATTATACGCTAAACTGTTTTTAGAGATAAAACTCTTTACATTCGAGTAAGATGAGAACGGTCAACTAGGTACCAATGTGTTATTAGACCAAAGGTTCATTTTGCGCCGGAGTTGTCCTTCAATATTTCCGTGAAAACATGATTTGTTTTTGTTTTTTTAGGATTTTTTTCATAAATAGAAAGTTCAAAAGAACAAAATTTAGTTAAAATCTAGTATTTTGTAACTTTATAAATGTCTTTACTGTCACTTTTGATCAATTTAATACATCCTTGCTGAATAAAAGTATTCATTTCTTTTTTCTTCTTCTTTTTTTTACTTTTGAAACAGGTATGTTTTTATATTGGCTTTTTATTTATTTAAAATATATTTATTTATTTATATACATAACATGTTCAGTCTCGACAAAAAGAAAGACTTACAACATTGCTGATTTTCTAAACGTTTAAACTCTTTTCTTTTTTGCCGTGTTGACAACTTCAGAATCTTTTATTCGGCTACATTATTTGAGTGATAAAACATCAATACGTCACAGAAAACTAAACCGTTAAAGGGTTAGTTCACCCAAAAATGAAGAAATTCTCTCAGTATTTACTCGCCCTCATGTCGTTCCAAACCCGTTAGACTTTTGTTGATCTTTGGAACACAAAGTAAGATATTTTTGAAGAAATCAAAGAGGTTTCTGAACCACCCAGCAACGTCATTGCAAATTTCAGGTAGTAAAGACATCGTTAAAATAGTTCATGTGACTACAGTGGTTCAGCCTTAATGTTATGAAGAGACGAGAATACTTTTTGTGTGCAAAAAAAACCAACTAAAATAACGACTTTATTCAACAATCTCTATTGTGTCAGTCTGTTTTTTTGCACACAAAAAGAATGTAAGATTTCGAGCGGCACTGGCCTAAAAGGACGAGTGACTTTTCTCTCAACGGTCCCAAAACGCTCTCACGCTGCAGACCATCCTTATTAATGAGGCCTGTGTTAGATGTGTGCGAAGAAAACACCGTAAGCATTTCAGAAAACAGTTGATACACTCTTAAACATCCAGACACACACAAACACACACAGATCATTTCCATATTTCCAGCAGCTCTACTCTGTTTGATTCATCCACCCTTCCCTCCTTTTCTCCATCCCACATGTGAGGTCATACAGGAAATGATGCGTCCCCGCCCGACTGCTTCTATTGTTCTGCGTCGTGTAACATCAGGTCTTTCACCGTTATCACTCGTCTCATTTCATCACCCTCTCCATATACAATCGTATCAAACGGTCTCTCTTATCTGTGTTGTTCCTCCTTGTCCCACGCTTGTCTCCCCGTGACTAATTCACCACCTCCTTCACGGCTCTCTTCCCTCATCGATTCTTTTTCTTCTTGTTTCCTGTCTGTCCTCTCCTCTCTCGCTTGTCTTTACAGTCATTGTATCCATCAGATTCTAGAGAGTGTCAGTCACATTCACCATCATGACATAGTGCACAGGGACCTGAAGGTCAGTATGGGCAGTGCACTGGCCCCCTGCATGTGTCATGTGATTCTTGCCTGTTTCGTGCCGCCCATTTGTGTGTCTGACTGTCTTGAACCGTACGTCTGGGACTTCAGGTGTGTTTCTGCACTCGATGGCTGTTTTCACACTTGGTTTGAAATTGGTTTAATTTCTCGTTATGATCTCATTTCACATTGTGTTATTTGGCTACGATTCGCAGTGGATTATGCGAATACTATTCTGAGCCCGAACAGCAGTTTTTTTTTTACATTTTAGCTAGAAAACAGGGTCTAAGATTGAAAACATTGCTTAAAATGCACAGGGAATTGCAAGAAAGTAATTAATACACTGATTTGTGGAGCATGTTTCACAAGAAAATACTATTTCAGACTTTTTTCTAAATTTCATGTTTAATTCAACGTGTTACTTTCCATTTTTTTTGTAATTATTTGTGCAATTTCTGAGTGAAAATTATTTAAAATGAAATCCTAGACTAAATGTTTTGTGTGTGTGTGATTAGTTTGGTCTGAATTCCTCTAAAGGTCACTTTTTACTTTGCATTATTTGGCTATGACTCACAGTCCAATTCACAGTCAGTCTGTTGCAAATGCAAGTTGTCAATTTTGAACAATAATCAAAAAGCAAGTTTTATTATAATGCCTCAAATTATGCTTTATTGTTTTCACTTTAAGAAAAATAATAATAAATTCACAAAAATGAGGGTTCTGTCTTCATTGCTTCATGCCGTTCCAAACTTATTTGACTGACTATCTTGTGTGAAACACAATGAGACATTGTGACATTGAAAAAATGTGATATTGAAAAATGTACAATTGCATGCAACAGCACCACCCACTTTTTTAGCGGCGTTGGTTTCTGGAAGTATTCTTTTCTATTAATTTCTCCCATTGGAATTAAAGTCTTGATTAAAGTTTTATAAGCCATGAACCAAGTCAACCAGCTACAAGGTGAATCTGAACATTACAAACTTTGATTTGAAGCAAAAAATAAAGTATTTGAAAATCAGACAAAAATACAAAAGTAAAAGACCATGTACTTAACAGCTTTATGTGGTTGAAAGAACTAAAATCCCATGAAGCAATGTTGAAAAATGCTGGAAAAAATATGAAACTGCTATTATAAATAACTCTTTGAATGAACATAAAAAATCATGGAAGGGATTTCCACATAATTAATTTGCTTTATTTCAGCATTATGCAATTATGTTATTTTGTGTTTGTATTTTGTTTGCGTTTAGACAATACGTTAGGATTTTGTACTGTTAAGCTGAGACTAATAGAAAAAAACATTTCAAGTCAAAAAACAAAATTATTATAAGTAAGCTAAATATATTATGATATATTCATAGTGCACAACTTTCCTAGTTCATTTTTTGAGTGTGTATATATATATATATATAAGTTTATTGCAAAATATGCATATATATATATATAATATATATGCATTATTTATATATATATATATATATATATATATATAATGTATAATGATTTACATTTGTGGTGCTTCATTGGAGTGGGCAGAGCTAACGATATCTTTTGCTGCTTTTTGCTTGTTTCGACTCTGATTGGTGGAATTTTCCTTCCAGCATTATGGGTACACTCTCAGAAAAAAGGTACAAAAGTTGTCACTGGGGTTGTACCATTTCAGGTGCTAATATGTACATTTTAGGTGTGAATATGAACATTTTAGGTGCTAATACAGTATGTACATTTTAGCTGCCAATATTTACATTTCAGGTGCTAATATGTACATTTTAGGTACTAAAATGTACATTGTAGGTGTTAATATGTACATTTTAGGTGCTAATATGTATATTTTAGGTGCCAATATGTACATTTTAGGCACTAATATGTAAATTTTAGGTGCTAATATGTACCATTAAGGTACCAATATGCAGCCTTTAGGTACAAAAGTGTACCTTTTGAAAGGGCACAGCCCCAGTGACCGCTTTTGTACCTTTTTTTCTGAGAGTGTAATGTAGTTTTTCAACCATGATTTCTGCTGTTAAGCACTATTATTTTAAAACTACGTTGAAATAATGCAGGCTGACATCTTTAACAGAATCAAGTACCATTGATTAACAGCCTCACAGCTCACAGTAAGGTTCTTTAAAGGTTTATAAGTTATCATTCAAAATCAATTTCCCTATGGAGACTGTTGCACTCTAATAGTCTTAATGTTAACAATGACGATACTGACCCATACGTTCCTCAAAATATCTTGTTTTGTGTTCCAGAGAAAAAATGTCACACAGAACTCTCCCTTTTGCATGAACTATTCATTTTAGGTACTAATATGCATCCTTTAGGTTTAGGGGGTGATTAGGTATATTTGAGCGTTCTGCCCCATTGATCAAACCAACCAAATTGTCGGGTCGGCAGCAGACGCTCGAGTGTGAAAACAGCCGAACTGCTCTTGATGCACTGAGAGTTTCTCCTCACCCGTTCTTTCTTCTGCTCTCTGTTTCTTGTATCGCTGTCTGTCTTCCTCTCTGTTGTTTCAAAACAGTGTCATTTATCTTTGCAATTGGGTAATTCTCGGGCGCGTGTAATGTATTGTTTCAGTCAAGCCTGGCATTCAGCATGACAGAGTGCCGCTGTTTTGTTTAATAGTCACTTGAGTGAAGGGCTCTCACAGAGTCTTGCAGTTTGTTGTGGTCTTGATTCAGAAGCTCAAATAAAGCTCAGTTTCTGCTCGGTTTAGCCAGACCTTTGAGAGGAGAAACGGGAGGTCGCCTGCGCCACATGACCTGCTGTTGGTGCATTTGATAGGTCTGACCTCTTGACTTGCTGACCGAGGAACAATAGTCAGGAAGTGCACTTTTATTTCTCAGGAGACTTAATTTAGTTTACCCATCAACTTTGTTTCAGGTTGTTCTCCTTAAATTCCTGTAAGAGTTTAGAGACATACATCGATGAGATAATTTGGTCATGGGTGAATTTGACATTTGCGACTCAAATCAAAGCTTTGGGTTCATATGCTCTAAAATCGATGATAATGTAATGACTTGCTCTGAAAACATACTCATAGGCTCTAAAAACAATCATAACTTAATGTTTTATGTTTTACATAGAGTTTTTTTGACAGAGAAGTTAGTTGAATGGATGCATCTCATTTCATCATCGGGTCAAGTTATAATGAAATGAAATTATCTGCTGAAATATCTGAGAATTTCTCTTGAGCTCTATACGGAGCTCAGAGAGGTTTATACGGTTTTCTCTCTTTTTAGTTATTTATATTTTTAGTGATGGATGGATGGATGGATGGATGGATGGATGGATGGATGGATGGATAGATAGATAGATAGATAGATAGATAGATAGATAGATAGATAGATAGATAGATAGATAGATAGATAGATAGATAGATAGATAGATAGATAGATAGATAGATAGATAGATAGATACAACATATAGTTAGAGAGATGAGGTGGTTTAGCTAGAAAACAGTAGTAAAATGCCCACGAGTTAAAATATTGTTTTACTAAAGTTTTACACTTTTGCTCTAGTTTTACACCAAAGCTTTAAATGCACAGGTAACTACAAGAAATGTAATTAAAACAAAGATTATTACCGCATTTTTAACTAGAAAATACCATTTCAGACTTTCTTCAAAATTTGATTCTGCAGCTGGGCTTCAGTAATGTTGCTTTCAGACTAGAGAAGTTTTGAGCTCTCGAAGTTGCACTGTTGAACTCTTCTACCTCAAAGGTTTAAGAAGAATTGGATTTCTTGTGTTATAACTTCTTTAAAGAGATCCCATTTGTGATTTTTCTTTCTTGCGGAATCTTTTTATGTTAAATTAGTGAGCCCAACAGTGTTAGCCTCCGGGCTGTTCAGCTGCCGGCCTGTGAGCCTGATCCAGCCATCAGTCGTTTTTATTGCCTTTCATTTATTGACGATTTCAGCACTCAGTGTAAGCATTTGGAGCAGCGTTAGAGGTTAAGTCCATTGTTCAGTCATTTTCACCATTTTTGTTTGGGTCTAAATGTGTCTTATTCAGTAAAGAGACACAGATGGTGAAAAACAAACCTTCAGGAAAAGTGACAGAGAAGTTAGTTGAACGGATGTGGCTCATTTCATCATCAGATCCAGTTATAATGAAATGAAATGAAATGAAATTATCTGCTGAAATATCTGAGAATTGTAGTTGATCTAGTATTTGCAGGACAAATATAGAGGAAGTCTATGCTATTTTCTCTTTTTTGGTTGAAATTATTTATAATTATAGGGATGGATGGATGGATGGAAAGATAGATAGATGGAAGGATATATGGAGAGATAGATGGATGGATGGATAGACAGACATACAGATGGATGGATGGATGGATGGATGGATGGATGGATGGATGGATGGATGGATGGATGGATGGATGGATGGATGGATGGATGGATGGATGGATGGATAGACAGACGAACGGACGGATGGACGGATAGATAGATAGATAGATAGATAGATAGATAGATAGATAGATAGATAGATAGATAGATAGATAGATAGATAGATAGATAGATAGACAGATAGATAGATAGATGGATGGAACGATAGACAGATGAAAGGATCGATAGATAGATAGATAGATAGATAGATAGATAGATAGATAGATAGATAGATAGATAGATAGATACATAGATACATAGATAGATAGATAGATAGATAGATAGATAGATAGATAGATAGATAGATAGATAGATAGATAGATAGATAGATAGATAGATAGATAGATAGATGGATGGATGGATGGATGGATGGATGGAACAGTAGATAGATAGATACATAGATAGATACATAGATAGACAGCTGCATGGATGGATGGAATGATAGATGAATGCAATGATAGACGGATGGATGGGGATAGATAGATAGATAGATAGATAGATAGATAGATAGATAGATAGATAGATAGATAGATAGATAGATAGATAGATAGATAGATAGATAGAGAGACGGACGGACGGATAGATAGATAGATATAGAATGATGGACGCATGGATGGAACGATAGACGAATGGAACAATAGGTTGGAAAGATAGATAGAGGTAGATAGATGGATAGGTAGATAGATGGATAGGTGGATAGATGGACAGGTGGATAGATAGATAGATAGATAGATAGATAGATAGATAGATAGATAGATAGATAGATAGATAGATAGATAGATAGATAGATAGATAGATAGATAGATAGATAGATAGATAGATAGATAGATAGATAGATGGATGGATGGAACGATACACAGATGGAACGATAGGTGGATGTATAGATAGGCGGAATGATTGTTGGATGATGGAATGATAGACGGATGGATGGAAATATGGATGTATGGATCAAATAAAAATAGGCGTGTTGTTTTTCATGTCAGGACATTATGTCCAGTAAGTGCTCAGATCTAATGATTACAGCTGTCAGTCAGACTCCTCTTCATGGGTGTGTTGTCCCCCAAAAGAAAGCAGTGGAAGAGTCCTAGTATAGAAGAACTAGAAAACAGCTTTATATGTTACCACATGTACACACACACTGAGTCTCAGTACATCAGCAGCACACGCCTACACAGGCTGACTCACACGTCCACCTTCCTCTCCTCACACACCGGTACATTTCAACACACAACTGCCAAAAAACACTCCAGGGCCGCCTGCCAGTCTTACCTCTCTTTTAGCCATTCTTTCTGGCCTCCCTCTCTCTTTCTCTCCTGATGCTCGCGGTTGTCGTGGGTGGTGAATGTAGTGTTAGCTAGAGCTTCCTGTTTCTGTATGCAGGAAAAGCATCACGTCTGCCGTTGCACAAGACGTAGATGCACGTTTAGACTTCTCAACACAGTTTATAATATAGAGAAAGAGGCTTCATTTCATCCAGAAGTGCCAGAAAGGGGTTGTCTTCCTCAAGTCCCAAGTTGCTTTTAGTTATGTGCCATTTTTTTTAATGTGTTTGAAAGCTAACCCTTCAGTTTCTTTACAGATAAGATAAATCCAAGGGTGAATCTCTGTGTGTCTGGGTCATGTTTTACTCTGAAATCAAAATAAAGAATTAATTAGACGAACTTTGAGCCCCTGATTAAGACAGCAACAATGTGGGATTACTGTAAATGTGTTTAACTGGTGGCCTGGGAAACCCCGGGCAACTTCCGGCAAATTTAGATTTGAAAGTTAGTCTGGCAAAGAGCTCATTCAAGCCCATTTCCAATCCGTCGAAATCGCGGCACCAATCAGAAACGTTGGGGCGGGCTTTACACGATGATGACCGCGCTGGGATTTTAAAGCAGATTTTGTAGTCTACATAACAAAGATGGATGCCGCCGTCGAACATCACTCGTTCGAATCAGCTATCGCGTCTGTTTTAAGCGATTCAAACGTTTCCTTTTCGTTAAAAACCGACAAAGAACAACACTCGGAGATGTTTCTTCGCCGCTTTGCATACGTCATCTCCTTCATCGCTCTGATTGGTTTTAGGTCTATCCGCGACGTCCGTGGTGACGCCCCTCTAGAAATGATTGGTTTATGATGCTTTTCCAGATTACAACTGAGAATGGTCTTGTTTTAAACAGGCTACTTAACTGGCATAATAAAATTATTATAATAAATATAATACAATTAAACAACTTAAATACAAATACTAATTGAATAAACATTTGTTCACCCAAAAATGAAAATTCTGTCAGTAATTTCTCACCCTCATGTTGTTACACCATCAGACTTTCGTTCATCTTCGGAACACAAATTGAGATATTTTTGATGAAATCTGAGAGCTGGCTAACTCAGTTTCCTCTAAGTTATTCACTTTCAAAAATGAATTTTAAAATTAAAAAATCAATTTTGGTGTTTATTACAGCTCAGACAACATATACTTAAAAATGTTTAGCACTTTTATCACTATTTTTTGAAATGGTTTTCTGTAAAATGCCACCAAAATTTTGACAAATCTAACTTTTCAATTTAGGTAGGCCAAATCCAGGCGGAAATTCCCCAAAATGGTCCAGGATATTAACAGGTTAAAATTTGACGAAAAATTAAATAAATGATAACAACAATAAAAATCATTTAAATAATAACAAAGTGTATTTCTGAATAAATAACATTTCTTTTGATTTGTGGAGGAAATGTGACCTGGACCAGTTGAATGGAGATTCATCCTGTTGATAAAAGTCTTTGCTTGCACTTGTGAAAATGTGCAAGATTTACAAGATAGTTTTTTGGAAGAGGGAGTCACTTAACATATTTTATTATGTTTGGCGATGAAGATGTATTGTTACATTTATTAGTAGCTCCTTGTAATGGCCCTGCATTACTTGCCTGTGCCTGTGCACGAGAGAATGGCATTGCTCAAACTAACATGCGCCCCCTGGTGTTTGCATGCAGTCACTGCATCCAGCAGATCCTGGAGGCGGTGCTTCATTGCCATCAAATGGGCGTGGTGCACCGAGATCTCAAGGTGAGTGACAGGTGATGTGTTTTTCTGTGCTTGTGTTGTGCATGCGTTGATGTCCAAATGTGCCTCGTATGCTGTACGATTATAATGAGTCGGATGGTGAGATGATTAATAACCTGTAGGAGGTGTGGCTTAATACTCAAGTTCCCATTTGGCATGGGTGACTGTGCTGTTGTGTGCATGGATATCTCTTTCTTGCTTAACTTCAGATTGGGCTAGTATGTCAGATTCATTTTTCATTGTTTATTATGTCCATTTAAATGCAATTTATTTGAGGAGTTCACAAACTAGTTGACGCTGAACTAGAATGATATATCGAATGCTTATTAATGAAGTATATGGGGTCAGTTTTGATTTCATGTTGCTTCTCTTCCTAATCCTGCTTTAGTTTAGAAGTTTTTGTTTTTATACACTCACCTAAAGTATTATTAGGAACACCTGTTCAATTTCTCATTAATGCAATTATCTAATCAACCAATCACATGACAGTTGCTTCAATGCATTTAGGGGTGTGGTCCTGGTCAAGACAATCTCCTGAACTCCAAACTGAATGTCAGAATGGGAAAGCAATTTAAGCAATTTTGAGCGTGGCATGGTTGTTGGTGTCAATCTGCTCAGTTACTGGGATTTTCACACACAACCATTTCTAGAGTTTACAAAGAATGGTGTGAAAAGGGAAAAACACCCAGTATGCGGCAGTCCTGTGGGCGAAAATGCCTTGTTGATGCTAGAGGTCAGAGGAGAATGGGCCGACTGATTCAAGCTGATAGAAGAGCAACTTTGACTGAAATAACCACTCGTTACAACCGAGGTATCCAGCAAAGCATTTGAGAAGCCACAACACACACAACCTTGAGGCGGATGGGCTACAACAGCAGAAGACCCCACCGGGTACCACTCATCTCCACTACAAATAGGAAAAAGAGGCGACAATTCGCAAGAGCTCACCAAAATCGGACAGTTGAAGACGTTCAATGTTGCCTGGTCTGATGAGTCTCGATTTCTGTTGAGACATTCAGATGGTAGAGTCAGAATTTGGCGTAAACAGAATGAGAACATGGATCCATCATGCCTTGTTACTACTGTGCAGGCTGGTGGTGGAGGTGTAATGGTGTGGGGATGTTTTCTTGGCACACTTTAGGCCCCTTAGTGCCAATTGGGCATCGTTTAAATGCCACGGCCTACCTGAGCATTGTTTCTGACCATGTCCATCCCTTTATGGCCACCATGTCCCCATCCTCTGATGGCTACTTCCAGCAGGATAATGCACCATGCCACAAAGCTCGAATCATTTCAAATTGGTTTCTTGAACATGACAATGAGTTGACTGTACTAAAATGGCCCCCACAGTCACCAGATCTCAACCCAATAGAGCATCTTTGGGATGTGGTGGAACGGGAGCTTCGTGTCCTGGATGTGCATCCCTCAAATCTCCATCAACTGCAAGATGCTATCCTATCAATATGGGCCAACATTTCTAAAGAATGCTTTCAGAACCTTGTTGAATCAATGCCACGTAGAATTAAGGCAGTTCTGGAGGCGAAAGGGGGTCAAACACAGTATTAGTATGTACCTTATAATCCTTCAGGTAAGTGTATTTCGAAGACTCAACTTATGCAAATCTCAGTCTGGATGCGCTTCCAGTGGCGTTTCTCCGGATGCGGCTGAAGGTTATTGAGTATTTCACACCATCCTACGGATCCTCAATCAGAACGCATTTTAAATCATGAGCCCGAAACTTCAAGATGTCGTCGAGCTCCATGAATAGCTCCAGCAGATGGCAACGGTGGTTGAGCGTCAGAACACTGAGACCGTCCGTCTCTGTTTCAATATGGCATCTGTAGCGTGAGCATAAGAAAGAGATCAAAGATTGAGCCTGAATAAGTTTCCCTGGACCCAATTTCCCACCTGGCTCGACTTCCACCAGAGCAGAGGGAACGTAACCTACTTAATAACAGCACACACACTCTCGCTCTTCTGCTGAACATTGTGTGGAGGTGTGAATGTGTGTGTCAAGTGGGATATGATGTATTATTAACCGATACGTCTAAATGAGTGACAGTTGGTTACAGTACGTGACAATCTGCATGGGAAGATGTGTTTATGTTTTTGAAAGAATTCTTTTGCTCACCAAGGCTCAAATAACCTAAGGATCTTTAAGTAAAGATATCTTATTTATTAATAAACATAATAAACAAGATAAAGATCTTTATAGTTTCGGTCAGTTTAATGCATCCTTGCTGAATAAAAAAGTATTAATTTCTTTAAAAATTAAACTCAACTAAACCCAACTTTTTTAATAGTACACTCTAAAAAATGCTGGGTTGTTTTAACCCAATTTTGGGTCAAATATGGACAAACCCAAAATGCTGGGTTAAAAATGTAATGTAAAAATTTAACCCAACGGCTGGGTTAGTCCATATTTGACCCAAAGTTGGGTTAAAACAACCCAGCATTTTTTAGAGTGTAGTATGTGCATATTTATACTATGTACAGTTTTTAAGATCAACATGAAATCAAATCGACTCATGTAGGTTAAAGGTTCTGTGGAAATATCTATGCAGGTAGATTTTTTTTGTGCAAGCTAATTTTTCTGAAATCTATCTAACACCAGTGGGATCACTGAGAGCCCATCCCGTCAATCAAATGAACTGTGTTAAGCTAAAGATGATCCAGTCAGGTCTCAGAGGAAAGAGCATATATGTGGAGATATTCTGGTACCTCTGCTGGAGTGACAAAGCTGCTTATTTCCACCAAAAAAATGAATTAATTAAATGCATTTACACAAATTAAGAGTGTAAATGTATTAAAATAGTTAAATAAAATGTGTATATATGAAGAGTTCAGATGCAAAAGCCTCTAAATGCCATTTGAAATTTTCTTCTTTAATGATGATTTTTGTCAAACTTGTATATTCAAGTTCAGTAATTTCACTTAAATAACAATTAATAGGTAATTATCATTGCCATTTAAGTGAAATCACTAAACTTAAATATACAAGCTTGACAAAAATCATCATTAAAGAAGAAAATTTCAAATGGCATTTAGAGGCTTTTGCATCTGAACTCTTCATATATATATATATATATATATATATATATATAGATATAGTGCTGTCAAACGATTAAAATATTTAATCGCGATTATTCGCATTAATGTCATAGTTAACTCGCGATTAATCGCACATTTTTATCTATTCTAAATGTCTTTTGATTTCTTTTTGTTACATTATTTTTTTCTCATTTTAATGCTCTTATCAACATGGAAAAGTGGATTGGCTTGTTTAGTGCAAATGTTTTTTT